TTGCCAAAGTTGTGTATCAGGTGAGAGAGGAAAATCACAGGAGAAAGAACAGACAGCTATCAGAAACAGACCCCAAAGCTTCTAACAGTCACAGCCCTGGTGAGAAAAAAAGCATCCATGGAGGGCTGCGACACAGCAACCTGTGAAATCAAGCTTACCTGTCTCCCCAGCTTTGCCTGGATGATGTAGATTGCTATCTGGCAGAAGAAGATGAAAAAGAAGACGAAGAAGCTGAAGGAGCTGTCAGACCTGCAGGAGAGACAGCAGCAGGAGTGAAATCCAGGGACATGATCCCTGCACAGACTCCCTTCTCTAAGAGGAGGGAAACAATTTCAGTGAACTCCTTTCTCCAGGGGAAAGCTGCTAACGGGAGGTGATTTCAGGAGGAACTTATGCAGCAACACAACTTACAAGATGTTGACTGCCGATCGCAAAACCACCGCTCTGCCCAGTGCAAGACGGGGTGAAGGCAGCTTCCTTAACGCATGCAGCGTTCTCAACACATTAATGTACCAAATCGTTTCTCAGAAATGAACAAAAAAGTAGGACTCTATGCTTGGATTTCAAGATGAAAAAGGACCACCATAACTAAGTTCCATGAGACACTTCTAATACGTTTAGGAACAAGTGGGTTTGATCTATTTAATGATGCAAAGAGCTGGAAAAATCCTGCAGGCAACATACAATCGAAACAGATAAAATCAAAGCTCCTCCCACTAAAAGATATATCCCTGTTACAGAAGAAAATGGTACTTGCCTGAAAGCCTTGTAAATTGGTCGGTACCAACAGAGAAAGGCACAAGGGGTGAATAAAATAAACCACAGGATCGAGAGACCAAAATCTACTCCTCTTTCTGTCTGAACTGTGAACCACGCCAGGCAAGCAAGCAGGTTTAGGAGCAGGGTAATCGAATGCACTGTTCAGGATGGGAGAGAGAGAGAAAACATCAGTAAGTTCTTGGAAAACTCAGCAGCATCCCTAATCTCTCACTGAACACATGGAGCTCTGCAGAAATTAAGGAGACTTTAGGCCATCTAATTTCCTTGCCTCCCTTGAAAGGAAAACAGAGCTTAACCTAAGAACCTCATCTGATCCTGCTGCTTACAACCAAATCTTAAATCTTTTCAGAGCACCAAAACTGACAAATACAGTTGAAACTGTTTTGCACCCAATCTCTGAACTGCGCTATCCGCTATCTTTCAGCATCTCAGGAGAGTGGTTAAACTCTCTATTAAACAACAATCAAAATTCTGTCATAAACAAGCTATTGCCAAAGTATAAACTTGGAGTCCTTTACATTTGCCTTCATAAAAAAGGGAGACATGAGTTTACCCTTGCAAATAACACCTACAGAATGTACTGTAGGGCAAAGCTCAGCATCTGATACAGAATCTTCTTAGGAAGAATTTTTTTTGTAGTTCAAGCTATTACTTACACATCCACAAGTAATACAGCATCTTGCATATCCTCTGGTAGTCAGCTGGGATGTCTGCAGAAAAATCCTGATAAAAACACGGCTTGATCGGACACTTCCTGGGAAGAGGTGGCCAGTTGTTTTGCCTCGCTGCGGAAAGGAGAAAGGAGCAGTTCTTCACTTGCTCTCCTCTCACTGAAAGACTAATTCGCACGCCGTAATTTGCAAGTAGCCATTCATATATACTGACACTAAAACCTTGGAAGAGGCCAGGTCTTCGTAAGTAGCTAGGTTTGAGCAGGCAGCACAGCAGGGATGCGTTAACCGTGCTGGCAGCAGCGAGGCAGGCCAGCCTAGTTCGAGGGCTTTCCTCTGTGGGAGGCAGAGTTCCTCTGCAATGGCCAAAGGGTCATCACAACCATCACCGCTCAGCACTACAACTCCAGCCACTTAAAACCAAGGTTAGGGGAAACTATTGTTTTGCTGTGGTTAAGAGTGCCCCGAGACTGAAAAAAAGCTTTATGGCTCTCAGTGAAAAGCCTTAACGTGGCAGCATCACACAGCAGCTCAGACAGATACAAAATCTGTGTCTGAAGAACTTAACGTGGCCAAATGCAGATGCTGAGAGTGTGCTTGAGGGCAGAGACCCACCAGAGCTGGTCTCCAGCATCTCACCTCTGAGCTCGTTTCCCATGTTGTAAGTTATGGGATGACAGGTACAGTCCCAAGAGGGTTGCCACAGCTGTGAAGGACCAGAGGAAAGACACATGGCTTCTAAAAAAGCTGCATGCACTGGGACAGACTGAGCCTTCAGCAAATCCCAATAAACCAAGCGACCCAGGCTTCCCTGGGCATCACACTCATTGCAGGAAGCAGTACTCACGATTAATGCTGGCTGCGTTACTCTGCAATTCCCTTTCCTTCTTCTCCAACTCAGCTGCCTTCCTCTCTAATTCTGCCTGCTGCTGAAGGAGCCCAGCCTGTGCTGCCGCAGCCACAGCCTAAAGTAGGGGGAGAAAAAGGTAAGTCCTTCCCTAAGCGAGGCAGTGGCACCACCACCAGCAAACACACCAGATGCCAAACTGGAACGGAAGGAAAAGCAATTCAATAGCAAGAGTGGAGGACAATTTGAAAGCTGAACACACGTGGCTGATCTGAAACACCATGAGGCTTTCTGCCTTACCTGCTAGAGGACAAAATCAAGATCAATGCAGAACTCCACCCAAATGTTCCCATGGGAAGACAGAGCTGGAAGAGCACTCATGAGGCTATCCAGTCTGGTGCCCATCCTCTATGCCCTTCCCGTTCAGCAAAGCTGTGCTTTTCTCACAGCTGCTTCAACCTCCCAGTTCACCTCATTGCTCTAAGTGCCTTGCAACAGAGCAGTAAGCACGACTCTTGAGTTTACCAGGACAATTCCCTTTCTAGCTAGAAGAGGAGGTTCAAAGGAAGGGCAAGACAGCTGTCTACCACAGCTCTTACGCATCTCTTCCACCTGTGTGCTATTCTGAGACCTGATCCTTTCTCCTAGAAGCCTCAGCTTCTCTGCTCTTTGCACAAGGTCGTCCTCGCAGTCAGGTATGTGCCAGCCAATCTAAGCAGTGGCTGCAACGTACAGCTAGACTGCATTTACACTCCTGGAATCCAGCATGACTGACCAGTAACCAGAACTAAGCTAAAAGCATTAGCAGGACATTGCAGCGTTCGCAGAGGGAAGCCAGAGCAAACAGGACACAAGGCAAAGCGAGCCCTGCCACCAGAGGGACAGGGAAATAGGTATAAAAAGAATTGCATTCATGTATTCCCTACAGAGATCTGCTTCACAAGGCAGGTACAAATGCAAGTTTAAAAGATCACCTGCAGCTTCCCACACCCAACCTCAGAGAATCCTGTTCTACTTCTATTCCCACGTGCCTCCAGAGGCCCACGGGAGCTCCTTCAGGCTTTCTAGCTCAGCTCTTGGGAAGGCAGCAGTGAGGGGTTGCCATACCTGGGGAGTGGGCTCCACGGACGTCTGCAGAACAGCAGGCTGCGAGTGGCCAGAGGGCTGCGTGGCTGGTGTCGTCCGTGCCGCATTTGTCTGCGTATAAATCACAAGCAACAAGGCAAAAACATTACATATTGCTTCTTTTAGCAAAGGATAGTTCAAGTTTAAGCACTACTAAACTAGAAAGCATTAGCAGGAAGCAACTCTGCGTTTTCAAAAGTTTGTTAGTTCCTTTATGCACTGGGGGAGAGGCACCTGAGGATTACAGCTATTAGGCAAAGGAGAAACAAAAAGATTTTAATCAGTAGTTTAAACTGCAAATATTGTGTTACCCTGGTTTCCTGTTCTCCTTTTCCCATCTCACACACGGCAGCAGCCAGGAAATAAGAATGAAGTTCTTGCAGCAATCCATCAATGGTATCGCCACAGCAGTTCAGCTCTCAACCCAGAGAGCAAATAAATATTGATGTGTCCTGCCACAAAACATCTTCCTCTTCACACTTCATATAGCTTTACTGTGAGCCAGCAGAGAGAAGCTGTTCCATGCGAGTGGAGAGCTCCAGCTGGGAGTTTATTAGTGCTCCAGTGCAGGAGCAGTTGCTCACAGCTTGCCACGCATGCAACGAGCTACGCTGTCCATGGGAAAATCAGCAGCGAATGTCTCACTCTTTCTTTCAAGCTGCATCTACCAAGGGACCTTCTACGCCACCAAAACCACCACCAAGATACCCAGTGCAAAGGCACACGGCACGTACCAGCTGCGAGCTCTCAGAAAAGGGGTTGAATTCATCCAAGCCACTTTGGCTAGCGTTTGTGAGCTGTGTCACCGAGGGATCCTGAAAGGAGAGAGAGCAAAGACAAATCACCATCGGAGAGAGGTCATCATTCGCTTCTACGTTATCCACGCTGCCTGCCTTTCATCCACGTGTTAACTGGGAACAGGATGGGGTGAAATGCACGCCGGCCACAGGTGGATAGCCTTGGCTGGCAATGAATTTAAATAACCAAGGAGATGACTATCAGCAAGGCAAGATTTGTGGGCAGAAGTAATCTCCTGTTCAGTCAAGAGGTACATTTGAAGAACTACAACATGCTTTTGGCACAGGAGCCCCTTCTGCACATTATTACTGCTTACCTACAGCAAGTTATTCCTAATTTCCAGGGATTCAAAGTGGGACATGGATTCATTCGCCCACAGTCAGAATGTTGCCGGACACCCAGGACCACCTCCCAGACCTCATTTGCACCACAAAATGAGCGAGGATCCACAAAGCACAGCAGAGCCTCACAAATGAGTTTCCAGGTACAACTGGTCCTGGATAAGTGTCAGCTGTCACCCAGGGCACTTGGACCAGCAAGCTAAAACACAAACGATGGCTCTGAAAAGGTAAAACACCCAGGAAAATCGAGCTGGAGGTGTGAGATCAATTGCTTTTGGAGGTTTTAATGCTGGCTCAACAGCCATGTTCACCTGTACTCACAGCATCTCCCACTTGTCTCCATCAAATAGTCTGACTGTTTAAAAAAAGGCTCTCTGCACCTCTACTGAGAACACCTTTCTTCCCTCACCTGCAACGCACTTGGCTATTTTTATCTTCTCTTTTATATGCACGCTACTTTCCACAAAGAGATCCCTCTTTGACAGCCAGAGTCTGACCTCTGGAGTACTTCTCTTCCCAGTTATTAGAGAAACAAGGTACTTTTTGAACTTGGAAATCCTGCTGCGAGAACAGCCTGGCAACCTGATAGCTGGCTGGGGGCAAAAAAAAAAATTTAAAAGTGGCTTTTTACCCCTCCCTCCTCAGCAACTCATGTCTCGAGACCAGTCATTTTAATTTTGTGGTTAATGGAGTGAGAAGCAAGTGAGGCTGCGACAAGGTAAGAATGAGCATCGAGGTGTGCAGGGGCTGAGCGAGTCCGTGCGCTGCAGAAAAGTCATTTGGTTTGTCTGAAACCCACTGGAGCCATTCCCCGGGGTTTTAGCGCAGCCTTCTGCTGAGCAAGATGCCTACAGAACAATGAATGAGTAACTTCACACATCTCCTCGATAGCAGGCACTCCCTACGCAACAGGTTGCACTAGTTTATGAATCACCCAGGGCTGAGGGATCTCAGACAAGGAGGTTTTGGATGCTGCCTGATGAAGTACAACTCCCTGGCCAGGGAGGGCCGTAAAAAAAAATTAAAAAAAAAAAAAAATGGGGAGCACCAGCAGAACCGCCACGCTGGAAATAAGGGCTGCAAGGACTCAAGGCACAGGTTTTATTTCACCACTTACTCCTCCGGAGGCTTTAGCTTCACCAGTTTTACAGAGGCAAGGGCTGTCGACACAAGCTTACAGGTCAGTTAATGCGCGATAGCTGCTGTGTGCTACCACGATACTCTTTAATCCAGCCCAGGTGAGGTCCCAGCCTGACTGAAGTCCAGCAGAAGATGACTGCACAAGGAAGAGAAACTCCCTTAAAGGTATGGAACGAGGAAAGCAAAGGCTGTATAACCATCTGAAGAGCTTGAGTGGCGTGGCTGGCAGGAAAGTCCTCTGAAATAAGAAGAAACACTAGGATACTGAGCCAAAACACACATTTTTCTTCCCCTCGCTCACCTCCATTCAAAAAGAAAGCTCCTAAATTAATGGGAGGCTCACCAGGGCAGCACTGCTATGGAAAGGGCAGGCTGCCAGCGGCCTGGGCAGGGCAGGGAGAGCAGCACCGCTGTTTCACTGCTTCCAGCTGCACAACAGTTTGATTTCAAAGGGAGACGACCTCTCATCTTATTGCGTAGCTTCGAAAAAAATTACTTAATTAGGCAGCACGGCCAAGGCAAGGCAGCTCAGCTTAACTTCCCTGCTGTTGTGCAAGTGTGTCTAAAATAGATATACAAGGAGCATGGAATTTGCAACAAAGCTGAAGTGTGTTTGGACATGTGCCTCTGTGCCCTGGATAGAGCAGGAAGGAAAACAGCAGCTGTGAAACAGAGGGTGATACAAAGGCACCAGCTTCCGCAAGCCTGGACTACACGGCGCAAAGGGTGAGTAAGCACCAGGAACACAGAGGAGATGAACGAGAAGTTGCCCGCAAACTTCACATTTCACAGTTACTTTCTGCAAGCTACAAAGCAAAAGGCAGTTGACTCCCTCGAAACAAGCACAGGCCTGATCCTTTACGCCGTGAAACATGGAAACAGGGACTTAATTCAGCCACTGCACCACCTGAAGCTACATTACCCAGCTGTCCCTCCTCCGAGGAAGTAACGGCACTCGCCTTTGCTCCCAAGGTCCCACGTACCTTTCCTTTCGGAGGGTTTAGGTGTTAGGAGCTCCAGTTAAACTCGAACAATTCTTCTCAACTTCTTTCCTGCTTCAGAGCTAAGGAAAAGCCTCAGCACCTGAAGGCTCTCTTACTTCTCCGGCTATCCTGCTTGATTTAATAAGTACATCCAGCCACAAACTTCACGCTCACAAATCAATTATTAGCTTGATCTGCAGAATGCCAACAAGCAGGTGCCCATTTGTTGCCCTTCCTATCATCACTTGCTCAAGCAGCAGGGATGTGTGATGTCAATTTTCATGACTTCAAATTCCCCAGTGCAGAATAATTTCGCATTTCGACCAAATAGCACCGACACAAAGATTAGAATTGTTTTCAAATGCAGCGTTTAATGCAAATAAGAAGTTGCTGTTGCACCGTGCCAGCTGTCAGAGCTGTTAAAAGGTTTTGATACAACAGGTTTGGGCAAGAAATTTTATTCTTCCATTTCTTTCTGTTCCCACAGGTTAAAGACACAAAACAAAACAAGCTGCCTCTCTAGATGAGATCAAGGCAAGAGAACACAAACTAGAATCACGTGGAACTTAACACGGTTGTCTAAATATCACAGTAACTGCCCTAAATATCCCCAGTCCTGCAGTCAGCCACCAGCGTGGGACCTCAGAGCACTGCCACTGCCTGGACGATGCACTGAGAGAAACCTCAAGGATTTTATTATTGATATCTCTCAAGAGGACAGAAGTTTCCAGCCCTGTCTGAAGCTTGCATCAAAGTTTTGGAGGCAGCTGCCACTTATAGCAGGTTATTGAATAAACGAAGGCAGTTAATCATCTCTCATTAACCAGTTACAATAAGTAACAGAAAGAATAGCCAGAGATATTTTTAACAGGACCAAACCAGCTTATTTTATACGAAGCTTATTGAACATCATGAAAAAAGTCTCCTTAAAAGGCAAAGATCCCCAGTTACGTCAGGATTCGCAGAGTACGAAGTGCTCCACTAAAATCCATGACAAGGAAAGACAACCCCCTGATGCTCTGCCCAAGAGACATTCATTAGTGTGACAAGGCTGGGAGGGTGAAGACGCTTCTAGTCTTTCAGCAAGACCTGCAGAGCGTGTGGAAGGGGATGTCAGTGCCTGCCGGGCGGGCAAACCGTCTCCTCAGCCCTGCACAGCACTGAGCCAGCACGTGGATCCAAACCCCAGGAGGGAATGGACTTGTTTCATCAGATTTACTAGACCGGAGCAGCGCTGTCCTACATCGTGAGATGCCATTTTCAAATCGGAGAGACAGGGTCTCAAGGCTCCGGGCAGCAGCAGTCGGAGATTCCTCACGTCCAGCTGCTGATGACTGGGGAAATTTTTCTTTAAAATAAAAAAGGGACAAAGGTGATCTCAAAACCTCACAGTCCCAAAGGGAGGATATAAGACCTGCCACAAAAACCAGCTGTAGCTGCAAAGACAATCACAGGGGCATTCATGGTGCATTGTACGTTTGTCCTCATTAAAAAGTAAGCCTGACATCAGAGTTACCTGTTGTAAATTACGTCCAATCTTTTTTGTTTAAACAGTGAGTAAAGCGCAAGCACACCCCTGTTCCATCTGATACTGGGACAGCTTTAATGTGCATAAAGCAGCAGAATACTTACTTCCTCAGTGCCAAAGCAATAAATACCTACATGAATAGCAACTGAATGTGTGAGCCACCCTATATTCCCCACCATGGAAGGAATATTACAGGAACACCGTCATCCAAACCCTTCCCGTTCCAGAGGCACATGAGAGTGCATTAAAATGAAGGTGAGGGAGAGAAAGGATTTTTTTTTTTTCCCTTCCGATTTCACTTTGATGCCTCAAAACACTCAGCTCCATCAACAAACAGTTTCACTTTGGCTTGGCCATGCAACCAGAGGTCAGGAAATCACCCCTTCCTGCACATTACATCCCAGCCAAACAGCAAAGGTAAGGCAGCGGCCGCAGCCGCTCACGGATGAAAGCCAAAGCCCGGACACTCGCTTTCACACCGCTGCCACACCAGTCGGGTCCGAGAGGCCGTTCCCAGCCAACTCCCTGCATAACCGACCCCACGTTTTGAGCGCGGAGGTTAAACCCATAGAGGAGAAACCCAGTGAAAGCAGACTAACTCCCCAGGAACCTCAAAGGGAATCCCACGCTTTGGCCCTTGAAAACCACAGCCAAAGGTTACCTTTTGCCTTACAGGCTCAGTTTGCAGAGCTAACGCTACAAGCACATGAAAAGCAGACCCCAAAGAGACCCAGGGGCCAGCGGGACTGCCCTGCAGCACGGCCGAGAGAGCTCCCCGCCGCCTTA